GTGACGCAACGTAACGCTTCCTCAACCCCCTCCCCCCCTCAAGAGTTGCGTAATTTACGGACGAACCTGTCTGAGGAGCGCGTGCTTCGTTCCGCAGGGACGGGCGGCGCGGCTGCGGGCTGTTGGCGGCCCTGAGCGCGCTGCTGGAGCAGCTGCAGGCCGAGGGAGAGTGCTGCGTGGCGGAGGCCGTGCACGCTGTGCGTCGCGCGCACGACCAGCTCATCTGCTCAGAGGTAGGCCACGCTCGGGCGCAGGAATGGGGCAATAGTTACCCCAAGTGTAGTGCCGTGTAAACGCACGTGCCTTGGGCCCCGGGTTGAACTTAAAAATCATTAGTTCATGCTAAATTTTTCGAACAGTAGAATTTTAAAAAGTATAAAAAAAAAGTGATGCATTGTGAAACTAGACGCAAAAAAAATGTGCCTAACTGAGTGATGTCGCACATCTTTGGATTATAATTATAATATGGAATGTTGCTGGTTGATGCGTTTCAATGTTTCAACTCATTCATACATTCATTTTGCATACAATTACTGTACAATTTAATTTAAAATAAAAACTATTCAATGTGTAGCCTCCTTCAGTGTAATTATAAATCTGATATTCTTACTTATTCAAATATGTTTAAAATTTTTGTTTTGCATAATGTTGAAATATTAAGAAATATTTTCAAAATATTTTTTTAAAAAAATACAAAATACAAGGTGAATTCATAGGATTTTCTTAATATTTCAGCATCGAAACTGGAACGGGGGGGGGGAGATTGGTGAAAGTAAGAATAGGGGGCTCCCAAATTCACCTAGGCCCAAAGACCCCCAAATACTGTTAAAACGGTCTGCCCAAGTTATACAGTTTTACAGTCCACAATGGCAAATAGTCTAAATCAGGGATATCCAACATAAAAGACCTCAAGGGTCACAACGAAAACCTGTGATAATGGTTGCGGGCCATATTTTCATTACTTCCAGTTACCCGAGTTACCCGTATTGTTGATCTCTGCAGTTTGGCCGGCTGCTCTGAAAGGCAGGGGTAAAAGGGATACACGTGTGATATCAGGCCCTACCATTTACATAACGCAGAGAAACACGGTGGGATGATTTTGAATTTCTGATTTGGCTACCAAACAAATCCTTAAATTTTAACTTAACCTATTTTCACAATAAAGGAGATGACCCCAACAGGACGCGTGCGCTAGGCGCGCGATGTTCTCGCTCGACATCTATTCAAAGAACTTTCACTTTTGATTAATAATCTTTCCCGCACCGCAATAACGGCATCGCGGGCCATATGCGATCCGCCAGGTGAACAACCTTGTTCTAAAGACATTCTCGAAGTGAACTCACAAATTGATCTAGCATACATTCGCCAAAGGATTTTTTCACACGCAAACTACTCACCACAAGTAATGTCATGATCAGTTGTTCTTTCAATATTATTTGTAGTAATATTCTTCTTCTTTTTCTTATATTCCTTTTCTTTTCCTTATATTCTTTTTCTTCAATTAATTAATTTATTTAATTATTACATGCAATACTTATTTAAATGTCTCAAGACAACTTTTCCAGATATAAAGTATCAGAATGGTTCCATAAAAGTGAAAATAATTAAATCTTGTAGTATTTAGTCATTCTATTAATGCAACATATTTTTTCTTTACTTGCATTATTAATCAGTTTTTAGCCCACATTTCAATCCATATTTTTAACATTTTTATTCCATATACATATACTTGTATGTACAGATCTAAGCATATGGTATTCTGTACAAACCTGAGTCCAGCTTACTATGTATTTTGTTCTTGTTTTTAATGTTTTTATTTTAGGTTGCTTTAAAAACTGCCAGTCATTAACAACCACTATTATTTTAAGCATTAGTAGCATTTTAAATACAGCTATATTGCTGCAAACTAGCAATTGTTAAATTTGTAATTTATGTTCTTATGATATGGAGTTATACACTAATGATCTCCTAATTTAATAGGGTTCCTCTTTAAAATGTTCTTAACATCATATAAAGTACCATGTATATTTTAGTCGACATTCAGGAGATGATTTCCAACAACTTCCTTACCGTAAGGAAGTCATGATAGGATCATATTAATATGATTATATTAATATGACCAGAAAACGTATTGATGCCTTTTTTATTGTTATGTAGAAGAGAGAGGATATTTTGTGTTAATGGACTGTTGGAGAATTTATTTTGGATAGCTATAAGTGTTGACATGAATTCATGGAAATGGTTGTTTTCCCTATCGGTTCTGCATTCAATAGCTTTAAAGACAGCCCAGGTTTCACAGGATAAAAAAACAAAAGAAATATGAAGGGTGGGATGCTGTAGAATGGAAGGATGTAGTTACTACATCACATCCGGATCCACCATCATTTTACAGAAATTGCATTAAAAAATCTCAGAACAGTGGTTTAACAATGGTCTAATTCAGTAGTTCTTGTAATGTACCTAATTATGTAGTAACATTTTTTCTCCTTTTGTTAGAATAAATATGTCAGTGACATACAAGTTGATACTTATTATGGATCCCCAATTTTGAATAAAGCTCTACATTCCCTGATTTAAATCTTTGGCTTTTGTTTTACAGGAGCAGTTGCTGTTCTTGTATGAAGCTGCAGTAGCCTTTGTTGAGGATTCGTTGGTAGCAGGAAATCCTCGATAAATTGAAGATTGTACACGGACAATGCAGTATGATTAAGTTACGTAATTAGTGATGTCAGTGGAATGCAAGTCAGCTGACCTAATGCCAAATATTCATGAGGAACGTGATCATAACTGTTGACTCTCTATGAAACATGGTGCTGTGGTAGTGGCATAAGCTCGAAGCCCTGTGTACACCATTGAAGTGACATTTGTGAGTTGTACTCCAATTCCATTCTGGTGAGGGGCAGTTGTTTGTTGTAAAATAGATATAAGCTTGCTTTGTGTAGTATTTTGCCTATGGACAATTTTGCGTTCTTTATCCATATTACCTGTGCCATAATAGTTTTTATTTGTTTTCACACCATAAAAAAGAACCAGTATAATTCTCTGGGTTCTTATTTTTCTTTTGTTTGTGTGTTAAAAATGCAATTTGAATATTCTTGTAATTTTTTTTTCTTTCTTGAAGTGCAGCAGTAACACTTTCAAACATGTGAACAGTTTTTGAAAAATCATTTGTTTCTGTTTTGAGTGTAATTGCTCTAAAGATTTTTTTCCAGAATTTAGAAGAGTAGCAAACTTGCTATAATGATATTTTATATGTGTACAATTCTTGAAAAGATATTTAAGAGCGAATGTTATATGTGAGTGTGTGTGATAGCTTTTTCCATTGCCAGTTTTGTTTATTAAGATGAAAGATGTATTAGCAGTCATGTAATTATTCCTCAGGAAGTGTCCTTAACGTTGTTTTAATAAATCTTGGTTTCATAACTAAAGATATGAGGAATTAAATCTATATTTCCTGTACCTGTATTCATTGTTAAGTCTATGTATATTGGAAATTATCTGTGCGTCTATCCATGTGAAAGTAGTTACACCTTTAACAAAATGAATTCTAGCAGTGAAAAGTTTAAACAATTTTTGCATTGATAATGATAAATATTTACAAAAAGGAGTAGTCTTTTTAATATAGATTCTTTTATGTGCCAAATAACTTCAGATTCTACTTCCCTAGTGTTGTAGAGAGAGGGCATTGGCATCTAAATAATGAACTCTTTAGAGAATGTAATTTTCATAAGAATTGCACAGTGAAACTCTACAAGACACTTGTGAAAACGAAATGACTTTGAAGTGTGGCTTAGAAAGCTTTTAAGATAAAAAGCAAAACAAGGAAGAGAAACAGAGAGAGTTTATTAATTAAGTTAGGTTTATTAATATTCATCCCCAAAGGTTCGGTAATTAATGCCACTTTTAAAGGTGAATTAAATATTGAAAATTAGAAGATTAAAAATGACTTCATCTCTGAGAGAGGTGATAATTATTAGTTTTAACTCCTTTACATTTATTAATAATAAATATACTAGTATTATTTTTATTTGAATTTTCAAAAAGTCATGCATTCATTTTTCCAAATATTATAAAATAATGTGGCTGAAAAGCCTTTCAGATGCAACTTGTCTCAGAAATTTTGATCAGTTAATAACTAAGCAGAATAAACTTTAATACAATACTTAACCTTTATCTTAAATGACAATTTATTAATCTTTGAAGAATGAATTCCATTATATAAAAATTAATGTTCTGGTTATGGTTCTAATTATTTCTAAATAATGTCATGTGGACTGTGATTAAATTTTTAAAGTCCAAAAGTTAAGCTGTGCATGATGTCGGGTATAAGAGGAAATAATATCAATGGTTTTGAAAGATAAAAGAGGAACTGAGATTATTTTTAGGCCCCAAATAGACCAAACTTTTAGAAAATGATACATAAGTATTATTTAAGTACTTGTATCATGCGACTCCAATAAAATAAGTTTAAAATCTATTACAAAGGTATGTTAACTAAATTATTTCATATTTATTCATATTTACTAATATTTATTCATATTTCATATTTATTCATATTTACTTTATTATTCTCTGAGTATGAATTATGTGTTTATACTTGTGGAAGAATAGTAGTAGCAAGTAGGTAGTAAGCAAGTAGGTTCAGGTCCAGTAACTGATGAGAGATCTAATATTTCAATAGTTCAGTCACAAGTTCTTTTGCTTGTCTAACGTAATTCAAACTTTATTTAAATTAAGATGTCCCTTGTGTTGCCATGAAGGACTATCTGAATATGTAAGTGTTAAAAGTTCTGTATTTTAATATTGTTTTATTTTAAAGTAAATTAATTTACATTTACATTACTCATCTAAATTGTATATTATCTTTTTTAACTTGTCAAATGATACACCATAAATATAAAGTTTCAGAAATGAATTAATCTAGATTCTTCGACATATTGTAAACAGTTGAAGGAATCTGTTAATATTCAAAATTGAGAAAACAGTCAAGAAATTAATTGAATGGAATTAAATGGAAAAGAATGTTAATTCCTCTATTAAAATTATCATAAGACATTTTGAATCTGCTATTTATAATCATTTTAATGTCAGTTTAATTATTTATAGTGATTTTTTTGCTTTGATATGTTGATTGAAATCTCTCTCTTCTTTGTTGTTTCTTTGATTACCAATGCAAGGTATGAAACAACCTTTTGAGTCTTCTATTATCGTGAAAATTTCTTTTTGTAACTTACAAATACACACAAGATGGCATACTGGCCTTCACTTTACACCTTGTGATTTGAGTATTTTTCTGGATCCCTTTGTACTTATACAAAATACCTGAAGAAACAATGTCTAAAAACTATGGTAAGTGTGCAACTCTTATATTATTTTCTGTGCAAGGAGATGTGAGTGACGTTATTTTGAGTATCATGTCTACATCTTTGGTTGCTCCTGCAATGACATATGATATGATAATACATCATACAAAGTTTCTATGTGTTCAACAACACCAGTCAAAATTGTGCAAATTTTCTATTAATAGGAATGCCTTTAAAACCAAGTAGTTCTTTGATTTGTGAGCACATTCTCTTGGCTTTTATTATGACCGATGTCTAGTGTTCAGAAAGAACACTTCATCCTCTAAAGTGCAGCTAAAATTTGAGCACTGGGCACTGAAAAAGACAAAAAGACATGTATTAAAATTTTTGAGATTTTTAACGACAATACAAGGTCATTCTATAAAATGAAAAACACTTCCATCTCAATGTCAGGATTTTTGATTGAAGGAACATTAGCTTCAAATCTGTAGAGAATAAAGTTGTTAGTCGCTGAAAACACTGAGGTAAATACATTTCCATTCAAAAGATCTTTGAAGAACAAGAGTCGATGACACCTTTTTTTCCCTTTATTATCTTTAACTGAAGCCTTTTTAATAGCTTCTTTACTGCTCAGGCTTTTTGAAGGAAAATGAAAATCAGACATTTACACAATTTATTTGATTTAAAAATGAAAGCGTGTGAAAAGTGTTAATAAAAGGCCTGTGAAACACTGGACATTATTGTCAGTATTGTTTATCTCTTAGATTTCACTTAGCTATGCACTGAGGCAACTGATAAAAGTATACAAAATCATAGAAATCTGCTCCCTAATCATTATTGTTGTTATTATTGTGATTATGATTATGATTCTTATTCTTTCATTATATTCACAATGGGTGTAAAATAGCCTTGTTTTCCCATTATGTTCCACAATTTATGAAATTAATATTATCAAAATTTATTATTGAATAGTTAATAAATAAATTATTATAATCTCTTTGATAATTAGCACAATCATTACTAGACTGCGGATATTTTGTTAAATGCCTATTTTTTTCCGGAGTACCTTGTTCTAAATGAAGCTTTATATATACATTTTAGGTTTATTTGAACTAAAACCCTTCAATTTAATAGCACCTAAAAGAGCCTATTTCAACATTAATGCCTATTTGTTCCTATTTTACTTTTACTAACCTAGAATGATACTAATTTCCCCAATTTCTTTAATCCGTAGTTTCTTTAATTTTTTTTTCTATATCGGCACAACAGACAAGGATGATATTAATTTTCAGTTACTTTTAAAAACCTAAATTGCATTTGTCTCCTTGTACCGTTCTATCTCCTTGTGTCATTTTGCCCCCTTGTCCCATTTTGTCCCCTCGTCCTTTTTAGACCCCTGGAAGATAGCGAGAAATGAATATACAGGACAAGGATCTTGCAATAAAAGTCTCCATGCCACTACTTCCTGACTTTGTGGAAAAGCCTTCTACCCCTTTTAAGATAAAGCGATTGAATTTTCGTAAAAGAAAAGTGATCTTGACTGATAAGAAATCTTGAATTTTCTCTTGAAAACTTGGAGAAAGTATCAGTAATTTATTGTGAGGCAAAATATGATTAGATTATTTCTAACTAGAGGACAAACAAATAAACTTGTTCTTAAAGAGTGTTTTTGCAAAATATTCAATACTGATTCTACATAATATTGATTTATGTTTTTATCTTTGGGAAATATATATAATAAATGGTAAAAATATGTTTTATTGCAAGTTTCCTGCTTTATTTGTGTCTATTCCACAACTTGAGAGGCTAATAGAAATTATTTGAGGCACCTAAAACATATTTTTAAACCTAAAACTCTGCGGTCCAATCATCACATTCTCATAATCTTACCACTGTGCATTGTACAATATAAGGAAAATGCAAGCAACCATTGTGTGTATTCCAGGACCCTGAGAGAAAATCCAGGTCCTGGTTCAAAGAAGGTAGTGTGTGGATCCTAATAAAAAATTTCTACAGATATGTTTATACAATTAATTATATTGTTATATATAGACAAGTCTATCAGGGGGAGATCCAGACAGTTTAGGGGGGGGGCATCATAGATTTTTGTTAAATAATAAATATATTTGTTACTATATTGTATATTATTTATGTACTGTATATATGATACTATACAATATTATTATTTAAATAATTACATAATTCAAACAAAAATAAATATTAATTCAATTTCGACAAATAAAGAAAGGGAAACGAAAACTCTAGGCCTATTGGGAGAAGCTTGTCCCTCCCCTCCCCCACTGGGATCCATCAGTGGCTTGTATCCTGTGGTACTCATCTGTTCACAAAGGCTTTAGTTTGCTTGCCTAAATTTGTAGTGACTCAGAATGCGACACTGTGACCCACATGTGACTTTTAATTTTGAAAATATAAATTAACTTGCACAATTAAAAAAGGTAAAATACAACAAAATTAAATGAAGTAATAAGGTTCAAATTATAATGAAAATTATGGGTTGTGTTGGTCTTCATTGGCTTCTTTGAGCTCCATGGGACTCTCCTGAGATTCATGGGTTCTAGAACAATGTATGGCTGCTCCCCCCTCTGCTTAGGCCTGCTGAATTCACTTTGATACATGTCCGGGTAAGATGTTACATAAAGACATAAGCCTCCTCCTTTGCCTGAACTCAAAAATAATTACACCACTTGTGACACATTTATAATATATTAATAGACGTAATAATTTGTGCTACATTTACACAATTTGTTTTAGATATCAAAATGTCTTCTTGTCAAGAGCCTTGTTCAAAGAGATGATACCCTCAATATAGGCAAACGTTCATTGAGAGATATTTGAGTAACTGGATAGAAAAGTAGGGTTTTCGTCTTTGTTACTGACCATTTCACATGACTATTAATTAAATTATGAAGAATATTTTAACGTCTATTATAATGTTTATATTATTGTACAGTTCTTGATCTTACTAAAGCAGACCATGTTTTTTATAACAATTTATTTCATGTTATATATTTATTTACATATTTAATATATTTATTAAATAAATATATAACATTAAATAAATTGTTATAAAAAAACTCAGTCTGTTTTATTAAGGTCAAGAAACTTATAATAAAATAGTATTAATTAAATATCACGCTTTCTTCTAAAGTTTGGAACTTAATGGTTTTTATTCACCTCTTTCCCAATTACTTTCCAAAAACTGACAATATTTTATAACATTCTTTACAGATTGAAGATAAGAGGGGAAAAATGCAAAAACATTATTTGATTTTACCTACCTCCACTGATTTAGAGAGACAAGAAATAACTTTCTTCGCAGTAACACAGCTCTTCTTTTCTGGAACAAATGCTTATATTGAGGCACATATGGAACTTTTATCAATTCTATCCTAATGATTTCATATTTTTATATATTTAAATATAATCATTCTTATTCACTTACTTGGTTGTGTTTCTTCATTCTTTTTGTCATCAGTTGTTTCTTCCTCATTGCTTTTTGAATTTTCTGATGATTCACCAAAAATATCTTTGAGAGATGTCACACATTCAGTGAATCTCTGCTGTAATTTCTCTCTTTGCTTCTCATCTGTGACGTTGTTAGCGATCCAATTTGTAAGCAATGTCTTATCCGGCATGTCTGAACTGTCCAGCTATAAATATTGATGTGTGGCATACAATTGTAAAATGAGAAGTAATATTTGGAAAGTTTTTTAGTAAATGAATGTTTATTTTATTAGTGCAATATTGTGTTGTTTCACTGTTTTCTTTGTGTTTAATTAGTAAGTTATCGGTTTTGTCTTCAGGTCTTTAATTCATTTTACCTGTGTTAATTACATGCATGAAAAGGAATATCAAATGTTTAAAAAAAAAAATAGTAAAAATCATGTTCTAAAATTTGTACTTTTGATTTGAACAATTCATACAGTCTTTTAACAACATATTCTTCATCTCAGATTTGAAACAAATCTTGGAAGGAAAGCACCTTTCAACTACGATAAATACTACATAATATTGCACTTGATCTTGAAAGTACAGTTCTTTCAAAATGCTATAAGAAAACTTTCTAGCGCCTTGAAAACTATAAAGAATTTAAAACATTTGCTTACCACTTCCAATTTTTTCAGCACACACAGGTGATAGTTGCACTGAAATGAAACACATATTTTCGAAATAAATGGGAATTTAAAAATAATTATAGATACAAAGAACAAATTGCAATTTTCACATTTGTGTCAGATGTGACAGTTCTTTCTAAATTATGCAACTCATGATAAACTAGTGTTGCTACGAAATGGTGTAGTCTTTCCCAGACTTGTTAGTTTGGCTTTATATTAGAGCAGGGTTTCCTTTTCTGTTTTGCCTCACACCCTTCCTGGCTGCCTAAGGGATCTACCAGGTTTCCCTTCTGAACTGGTTTTCCCCTTAAGCAAAATTGATCAAATGGAACTGAAAAAAAGTTGGTCAAGTGAAGATCTTGGGAAAGAAGCATCATTTCATTTTTAAAATAATTGAGAAGAAGCATCATTTCTTCAATCATTTTTAAAATGATTGAGTAAAAGATCTTCAGAAAAAAAAGTGGAACAATCAATTAGATCCTCGAGCACGAATGCTTTCTAGCTTGATCAAATGAAGGTTCTTAAGGAAGTCAAGATTAAATTTCAGTAAAGTCGATATCAAGTGGAGAATCTCAACAGGGTCAAGAACAAGTGGACATTTTCATGAGGAAGTGAGGAGGATCATGTGGAGGAATTGAAGGTAAAGTTAAGGATTTCGATAATTGAGATAAAATAGAGAAGAGGAACTTAAGGACTTAAAAATCATGTGGAGGATATCGAGGTCTAGATCAAGTAGGGTTTCTGGAACGAGTCGACTGATTGACAAGTGACTCCGACGCGTGAACTAATGACCTTTTTCAAATATTGCTAATCTCGCGTTTTTTAAAATTTATTTTTATTTATTAATATTAAACTTTTGCTCATCTTTCAACTACGAGTATTTAATGTCGGGAAGGGATTCTGGAACTCAAGAAAACGCGCGCAGATAATCTTCTCTCCCTTACGTCACATACAGTTTTTACTGTTTTTGACTGAATAAATCTAAATCTAAATCTAAATGTATCTTAAAGGTGTGGTTGCGTTTATTTCAATTTTAATGACATTTGAGGAGGAGGGGAGAGGAAGTGACACCGCTGGTGCGCGGGGCGGCGCCCCATGCGCGCGAGTGCAGTTTACAGAACCGGCAGCTACTCTGAAGGCCCATTCACAATACAAGCACAAACATAAGCATGGCGTTAACATAAAGGTTAGGACTACGTCCACAAGCGAAATCATTCTCTATGCGTTCGCATAAGCACAACACGTAAGATGTTAACTTAAAAGCTTGCAAGCTTCAAGCTTCTGTGCTTATGCTTAAGTAAGACGTAAGAAGTGAACCAATCACAGAACGGTAACTGAAAATCGAGAATCGAAATTGGAGGGAAGTCGATAGACGAACTAACGCCATATGGGACACGGACACAGTCGATAGCTTGAAATCGATTGTCACATCCAAGCAAGTAGTAAACCAGAACGTCTCACTGCCAATAGAAACTTTTGCTTACGTTTATGTTGGACATTGTAAATACTTCAGTCTATCACTTTATTAATGTTTATGACTATGCGCTATGCTTATATTTACGTTTGCATTGTAAATGGGCCTTGACAGTTCTCTCGCCACTAGCTGTGGTAGTCATGTGACCTACTCTGAAGCAACTTGCGAGGATTTGTTAACTTTCTCACTGCCAGAGTTGTGTTGCCGCTCATCTGACACGCACGTATTCTCGGAGGCGATAAGGTTTGCCTGTGGCGAAGATTATGAACATGATATTACTCGCGCAACTTTTCTTGAACGATGGATTAAAAATGGTAGAGTGTGGGTATTAGTTACGAAATCGCCAATTAGATTTTATGACGCAATGCTAATCTTTGGAGAATCAGTTTTGCCTTCTCAACTTTCTCAATAATTTGCGTTCGAACTTTTTAAGGAGTTCGAGGTATCTCCTGTGGATCTTCATTTGCTTCTGTCATTTCATTAGATTTTTGGGAGAAAATCGTAGACAGAAATTCAAGTCTTCAACAGAAAATAGTTTATTTGGCGCCAGTAAAGATGTTTTTGGAATGTTGTCATCATTGCTCGCTGCGAGCTTTTGCCTTCAACTGTTTATTGCGCCAGTGATGGGGAAGCAAGACGCGAGGGGGGGGGGGACGCAAAAGTTGAGCGATTAATATCATCGCCTGCCGATAAGGTTAATATTTTGAGATTTGATTTATCTGTGATGGTGGTGCCATGTGCGTTATATGTATGGCAACAGTGTATCGAACGTTGAATCGCTTATACGCTGCCGATGCTGTAGGCGACGCTTTGTGGTGGCCGGGGCCGTGCTTGTGGAACAGAACGGATCGGATTGGATCGGCCCGGCAGGCGGGGGGAAGGGGGCGGGCTGCAGCCGCGTTTCCGGGGCGCGGGCGGGCGGAAACGGAGGGCCCGGTGCCGGTGGAGGACGAACTGAATCACACGAGGCGCGCGACCGCCCGGGACGATCCACGACGGGCGCGGTCCAGTTAGCGTTAACGCACGAGGGCACCGGAACTGAATGGACAAGTAGCCACAGCTGCAACGGCAGTAAAACCCTCCGTTTGAACTCGTTTTGCTGTCTGGTGTGGCGAACTCTATGGACTTGGTCAGCAGTAGTAATCTGTGCAGCGTGTTCCAAGATAAGGTGGACAATAGAAAAGTGTTCTAACCGTTTTCTCTTAACGGATTTAAATAGTGTCGTCTGTGAGTTCTGGCAAATGATACGGCAACATAGAACAGTTTCCCGGTGCTGTCACAAATATATCGTATAAAATACAATCGTAAATAACTAAACTAATTGAACGCTTGCATTCATTTCGCAGAAAAGGAAGAGCCACAAAACACACACACACACACACACACACACACACACACACACACACAGAAAAGTACAACATATGTACTATACGGAAAATAGAAAGACCCAAAACTTTCATGGCCCCTCAGTACTTATTTTCCAAAACTGAAAAATTGGGAGGTTCGTAAATTCTGCAATGGCATAACCATTATTTACGTTTCTGAAATTTTAATTGAAATGTCTAATATTATCAATGATGTATTCATATGATTACATAGTATTCACAACGGTTGACATTACAATATATGAATGAAGTAAGCGAATAGGCTACTGAGGAATTCAGAGGTGAACATTTATTGCACCTCGTAAATATTGTTTGAAGCAAGTACCATTGAAATGATATTAAAATCGATGAAATCGGAGAAAATTGCAAAAACAATGACATAAAAATAGATTATTTGGTGGTGTCATAACATAAAATGAATTTCTATAGTCATCGGCGTTGTTCTAAAGGGAAAAGAAAAAATGACATTTCATTAAAATCCGCCCTATTCATTACCCGCATATTGTGTAAATACAATTTCGAAGGTTTCTGTTGAAGAGGCAAATATTGAATAAAATGTGCCCCTCAATGCAACTGCCCATTTGCTGCCGACTCGCCGGTCGAAAGTTCGGTAACGAAGTTGGAAAGGCGTAGCAGGCGGAGAGCAGCAGCCAGGAAGCGGCGAGGTGACCGCTGGCTGGAGCGGGTGGGTGCCTTTGTCACTGCGATGGCAGCTCATTCAACAGAGGGCGCCGGCTAATCAGATCGGCTTTCCTCTCTGCTCGGTTTGAAATTTGTGGGCGGCGAAAGTTCACGGCCTACAACAATGTGGTCATTACAGGGGTGTTTTCCAGCCGCGCTTCTCTGAAATGGGAACAGTGGAATTAATCGATCTCTGAAAACGCTGCAGGAATACGACTCGCAACTTTCAAAAATAATAGTTTATAATTGAGAACCGTGAATTTACAGTTCCGAAGTAAGTCATAGTATCCAAGTTACGAAAACATTGGAATATTGTAGGTTCCAAGCAGAATTTAAATTATGAACACGGAGATAACCAAAACCTGACGAAATTATTGAGGCAATATATTTTGTACGGCAATTTATAAATAATCTCTCCGTTTGACTCGTGTTGAATATTTAGACCGATTGCAATAAATTGAAGTTCTGTGTCCCTGTAATAGGTGTGTTGCGGAAAAATGATTTTATTTATATAATCATATATGATATCGCGTTTTTAAATAGACGAAAGAAGATATCAGTTTTCCCGTTTGATTTATGCCACATCGAATGTGATTCAAGACAAGCTTTAGTACATTACAGAAGAAACACTTTACTGCCGGAAAACGATACACATTTTAGTTATGAATGTCCTTAAGCTCCTTTCGCAATATTGATAGTGGGCGAGACGCAGTATTCTGGAAGTAAACGAGGTACATGCTGGGCGATGAAATCTTTTTAAATTATTAAATATACAATGTTATTAAATGTAAAAGCGAAATTACAAAAATCAATTTTTTTCAACATCCTCCTGTGACTACATTATTAAAGGTAGAGATGTTTCTGATAATGGAATATGTTCCTCAAGATAATGTCTTTAAATATTATTATGAACAATTCTTTTTGAACATATAAGTAGTTTTGGTGAAATTTTGAGAGAAACTGATGCAATAAAAAGATTCAAAGATTTTCTCAAAAATAGCTTCAATTTTTTCGCGTCTTCCAAATGTAAGGTTCATCAGAACAAAAGAAAGTGGACGAGCATGCAGCCGTATAATCATGTGAGCGGCGGCAGTTACTTAGTTCCCGAATTCCCTGCCCTCTGGTTTCCTCGAGTAGGGAGCGCGGTCATTGGACATGTCGCGTGAATACGAGCGTCGAATTTAATTTTCGCCACTAAGACTTCGGTGTACTCTATACTTACAATTTTACTGGAAGAGGTAAATTAAGAAAACTGCTGTGAAGGGACTGGTTGTTGGCCGAGGAGAGGGGTGGTCTGTTAACAGGGGTCTAATTTCCTACAATAAATAGGTTTGTGTCCGTTCCAAGAAAAATCTGTCGTTGGGAGGGGCGGCTGTTTAATAGGGGTGGTCTCACAGAGAGGTTTCACTATATTGGATTTTTAATGAAATATAGTTCATTTTATAGAATTAATGTGAACTAGTTTTGCAAATGAAGAACAAGTCCTTCTGCCACTAATTCAAAATACGATTATTTAAAATCAGGAAATTCATGGTCTAATATATGTTGTAAATGATCAGGTGACGCGGCGTCGAAAGATGTGATACCGACGTTCCTACATTTTGTCGTGGTCTTCCTCAGGGCTGGGCTGCTAGTGTGCAACACAGTTCTGAGGAAGACCACTACAAGGTGGTCGAAACGTCAGCATTACAGCCATCGAGGCGGCGTCACCCGGACATCCAAGATCATTTGCATGACTGGCCGCGGAAGCCCACGACTTCAAATACTCGTATTACTTCGATTTTTTGAAGTGGCAATGACATTAGGTCATTGTTACACCTCCTGCCTTTTAAAAAGAATCTTTTCAACAGTGGTAAGGACGTTTACGAATGAATTCAAAAAGAGCCATTTTATAAGGTAAGAGGTGTAACAATGTCCTAATGTCATCCGCCACTTCAAAAATATCGAAGTATTTTATGTTGTAGTATCACACACACACACACACACACACACACACACACACACACACACACACACACACACACACACACACACACACACACACCGAACCAACACCACACACACACTGACTTCAGGTTTACCACATTGCATTCTTTTCAGTCGTTCGACAAGGGTAAACTACTGGAGATTTATTGACAATGTTTTTGCGAAAGGGGAGAACCTTCCGTTCGTGTGTGGGCCAGTGGCGGATCCAGCGGTGGGGGGGGGAGGGCAGGGTCATGGGACCATGCCCCCGCCCAAAAAAAGGCCAAGAGTTTTCTTTTGTTACCTTCTTTTATTTGGCAAAATTGATTTAAATATGTATTTGTTAGAATTACGTAGTTATTTAAAAAAAATATTTTTATTTATATATATACACGAAACACTAGAAAAATAATTAAAATTGAGTAGCAAATGTTTATTAGCCAAGAAGACTCTATGATGCCGAATTATGGGCTGGATCCGCCCCCGTGTGGGGGCGGGGGGTACTCACGCTCCGCTTGCGCTGCCTGCGCGCCACGGGCGGGCGCGCCTCGTGGAGGTGGGCGGCGGCTCGGTGGTGGCGCGGCGGCCGCGCCTCCGTCGCCTCGCCGGCGCCTCAGACGTCGCGCTGCCAAGCGAGCACCGTCCCATTAACGCTCCGCTCTAATATAATTATATATATATAATATTTATATATTATATATTATATATATATATTTTAATATTAATTTAACCCCAATATATATATATACATATATATATATATATACATATATATACATATATATATATATACATATATATACATATATATATATACACACACACACACACACACAATTTGTGAAAATGTGTAATGAAAAAACAAAGAGACAGTCTTAAACACGTGACTGTTTTGTAGAAGAAATTTACTAATGAATGAAAAATATTATTGGTTGTACATTCCTTTCTTCAGTCTTTATTCCATTTACGATAGATTTATTTCGTCTTATTTATTTAATGTATATCTTAGAGAAATTATTATTTTATTTATTACAAGTAATTTATTTTATTTATTTTAAATAAATGTTAATTTTGTATTCATGTTCGGGTCTATCTTAACAACTTTTCCCAGCCACGTACCCGGCTGCAGTCTAGCAGCGCATGGAAAACTCCAGGGGTACTCCGGGCCCCATGCCGTTTGGCTTCGTCGAGCTCAGACCAGGGCCGCGACGTCCCCAATCCTCACATGCAAAGTAGCCCTCCAGCATAGGCAAGAACCTCTCAATATACCCCATGTGGAAAGCCCATGGACCCGTTTACATAGTATGGGAATAGAGCTGTTTCTGACAGCGTCGGAGTAAATAAATTTGTAGTACAAAGTTCTATCTTTTTTTTTTTTTTAAGTTAAGATTCAATGATCTTTTTTTCAAGACTGAATTCATACCTGTTAAAATAGAGCTTGTCTCACCTGGCGTGGTGGAGCATTCGGTGTGGTCGTCCTGTGCGCACTCCGCCTCGATCGCCAGCAGCTCCGGCTGCCGCGGCGGGCACAGCGCAGCCGCCTGCGCACACCACGCAGCCATTCAGCCCCCGCCTCTCTGCTCCTCCCACACCCTTCTCTCTCTATCCGCCACCTCTGTATCATTCTCTCTCACCTTTTCCTCTCTCGCCTGTCCCTCTCTCGACTGTCCCTCTCTCGACTGTCCCTCTCTCGACTGTCCCTCTCTCGACTGTCCCTCTCTCGACTGTCCCACTCTCGACTGTCCCACTCTCGACTGTCCCACTCTCGACTGTCCCTCTCTCGACTGTCCCTCTCTCGACTGTCCCACTCTCGACTGTCCCTCTCTCTTCTCTCACGTCTCTCACGTCTCTAACCCTTTCTCACCCTTCCTCCCTCCCCCCCTCTCTCTCTCTCACACACACACATACCTCCATTAAATTTTATATACATAAACTTTCACTGTACGTTCCTCCATTTATTATAACTTCGCCTGCCTCTGTTGTGCCTGTGTGGTTTCACCTAGTACTATTTTATACTCCACTTCGATGACTTGTTGTTTCCAAAATGACTTTCCTCTCTGAAGGATATTTTAGAAAATTGTTTCTTACAATGTAAAGTATTGTAATTATTTTCCGGAAATAGATGTTTCACACAAAAATCTATTGTGGGACCTAGTAACGTAAACGTGAATAAACCTTTTTCAATCTGTTCTTATATATAGTAAATGACTCCGTGTCTAAGACCCTGTCCCTGACTAAATGATGTTTGTTTAGTCAGAACCCATGTTTCGTGAGTCCTTGATTCCGAAAAATCAATTAACGGCAATCCATCTGTCATGGTCAATACAAGCGCCTAAATCGTTAAAACTCATTTTTCTAAAATTTATATTTCACGGCTGATCTGAATGATCTGGAGATCCTGCGATTTTGAAACGAATATTTTGATTTTTGGAGTACTCTACGAAAAAACCTCAACCTTGTCAAACTTTCTTCAACAATTGCTCCAATGTTTTTGAAAAAAGCTCTCGAAATTTTCGTTAAAACCTTTGGAGCCGTTTTTTGAGAAAATATCGTCTGAGAGTTTCTGAAAAAGCACAATTTTGAGCTCATTTACAGAGATAAATTTTGAGTTTTTGAGAAAGCATTTTTACTCACTATCATAAGAATGTATAAAAACTGTCTGTGATATAAATGTTAATAGTGTCAGACATATTATTAAAAAATATGTAATATTGAAAAAAATCAAAAGCATAAATCAAAATGGCGTTAATTTCACGCTATTCTGTTCGTTTAGCACTATCCGTACAAGATTTTATTAAATTGTTTACAATATATAAATTATAGAAATGAGTGTAACGCGTGTTCAGTAATAAGTGATTTTCTTCTTGAGTGAAATCATGGTCATTAGTTTTGTTAGAACTATGGGTCTTACAGAGCGGGAGAGGGTAGATATTTCTCTACCGGTAGAACGTGGGATACGACACAAACCTGTACGTGCTTCTTGGGTGTTTCCTCCTCGAGGTATAGTCGTCATTGGGACATTACGCTATTGCATTTAGATGTGTGTTAAAAAGGAGAGATGGGAAGGGAAATATCTCGCGCAGCCCCTGGTTTGTTACGAATCTGCTGCTGCATTTGCCCAGAATTGATCGGAGAGCACACGGAATACTATCGATCAGAGCAGTCGCTTGTTGAATTCTCTTGTAGGCCGCGGCTGAATCCGACCTACCTATCTAGTTAAGAGTTCAAACTCTACCACTGTCTGGGCTCAAATCCTATGACCTTGCTGTCGAAGTGCCAATAGTGTTGCTCTGAGCTAATTCAGTGTGTATCATCCGAAGTGCTGTCTTTAACGTGGGAGATCTTACCTTGCCCTGCACAGTCATGTTCTCTTCTTCGCTACCTGTCAACATAAATCAAAATAATGTTAGTTGTCTGCAGGAACGACAGTGTGCGCATGCGCAGCCGCAGGCGGGAGGGCGCGTACTCACTGGAGCTGTTGTCCACGTCCGCCTCGTGGCTGGCGTCGTGCGGCGCGGGGGTGGAGGAGGAGGCGGCGGCGGCGGCGTCCGCGGGCGCGGAGCCGTCGGGCCGCGCCTGCAACACGCAGTGGGGCCAACTGTCACGTGCTCTTCGGGAAGTCTGCACTTAACGAGCTAAACATTTATACGACTTTGATTTATTCGTTTTGGTATTCTCTCTTTCGTCCGCGACTTGCTGGAGACTGCTAGTCTGAACATCTGGAACTGCAGGTCGAAATTGATGTAACAACGTGATATGTCTTATTGACCTCGCAACTGGTCTCGTATGCGGAGTTTCTTGCTGTAATTTACATCGTAAACCAGTAGAGTAACGAAATGAGTGCAGGCCCGCCCGCAAATCCTTTATGTGAGCTCCCTTATAAAAGTGTAGCAAACAGAAGTGTATATAGCAAACAGAAGTAGTTTTAGTACCTTCACTTCTTTTGTTTTAGTGTATAGGCCAACTTGGACCACGCGTGCATCCTACTTCAGCAGGTGCATGGGAGGGGGGATATCAGCATTTTAGCTAAATCCCGATTTTTATTCCCCAAGGTCGTTAGCATCATATTAACACCATAATTCTAGCTGTTATTTAATGAAAAGCATTGCCTGCGACGCTCTCGATTGTATGTTATAAGATGGCAAGCATTTAGATTGAGGTTTATTTAGTAAAAAAAATAAAAAAAACACACAGTAAAAACTGTATCTGACGTATGGGGGAGAACATCATCTGCGCAAGTTTTCTTGAGTTCCAGAATCCCTTCCCGTCATTTTAACTATAAATGGTTGAACGATGAGTAAAAGTTTAAATTAAATCATTAAAAATAAATTTCAAATATTGCTAATCTCGCATTTTTTTTAAAAAAAAATAGTCATTTTCATTTCTGAGTTATAGAAAACTTATTTGCATCGGTACACGAATTGCAATTATGATTTCTCTGTATTGCTAATAAAATAGTAACTCGCCCTTTTCTCTACTCCTAACATAAGCAAAAGGAGAGTTCAAAGAAACGTGCGCGTAGTGAAGCTACATTTATGTCCAGAAGCAAAACAAGGGACCATCTTAGCATTTGCTCAATGGATCAGGGAAACTGGACAAAAACCTGATCGAGAGGGGGGTCATTGACCCGGAAGCTGAAGTACATTATTTGTTACAAACATATTGTTTTTAAAAAAATTATACAATGAAATTTAAACTAATTCAATATGTATCACTGTTTTGTTAAAATAAACATTATTTTTCTTTTGATAATCAGTATAGTCTCTAATTATATAGAAACAGTTATGCAGCAGAAAAGATTTTACATTTAATGTAAATTGATAAACCGACTTCAATTGTTTAATGTCATCTGGCAATGCGTTGTGAACTAACGTACATGTGTTGTATGTGGATTTCTAATTTGATGGATGTGATTTTTACGACTTGTGTTGTAATTATAAATATTGGTATTGCATGAAAATATGTTCCCACCGCTAAGTAAGTCACTTTTGACAAATATTATAGATTCGTAAATAAATAGGCACGGCAATGGTAAGATTCCAAGCTCAAAGAAGAGAGGCTGGCAGGGATCACGCGGATTACATTTGTTCATTATTCGAATAATTTTCTTTTGTAATCTAAAGGTCTGAGTACTACATGACGAGTTTTCCTAGAATACTGTAACATATCTCAGGCGGATATATACATTTGCAAAATGCACGCAACGAGCTTCATGAAGGCTGACAGAAAATAAAACAGTATCTGACAGCATCAAACCAAATCATCAATCGAAAGACAATTTGTGCGTCGTGTTTATTGTTAACAGTAGTAAAGTTCTTATAATTAGTCGTGGAAAAACTGCCTTTATAATTTACATTCATGAAATTAAAACTAGTATTAAACCTAAATGAATTGCTTACATTATCGATTTAGCAACAGGGTTACGTAAGCTACCGAAGCGTAAAAAAATAGTTTATCTCTAAGTTGCTTTTTTTAATCTTTTATTGTATTAACTATCGCAAAGTATCAGAGAATGTTTCAAGTATTTAATATATCTTACAATATTAAAAACTTTCAGTATAAAAAATAGACGCTCTCTTATATGTACCTGCCGGCATTGCGGGCCCGAACAATATGCCACTGACGTAAACCCACCATCCGACGACAATCAATATTTCTTGTCTTTTCTTTGCAAATTTGACATCATATCGCCAGTTAGAGAGTACTACCCATGGGAGTAAAAATATATATTCCTACATTATACTTCCTTTCGCGCCTCGTAAAATGTCGAAAGTGACATGTTTCTGATTAAAAGTGTCATACGAAATATTTGCATATACATTATTATTACAAAAGTCTTTTTATTTAAGAAGTTTCTAACATTGATTTCCATGATCTTCTAAGATATGTTACGATTAAGACATGAAACGAAAACCACTTCGTAGATCGCAGGTGACATTCACCGTGGCTTATAATAAATATTATATAAAATAAGGTATTGTCTCAAAGAACATCAGAATTTATCAAATGGCCAAATAATCACAAATGATCAGCTATTAATTTGTCTGATAACAAATTAATAGAATAATAATGGGTAGCTTAGTAACTGTTGTATAGTCATTCAAAATTATGTTTAAACTTTTCTTAACACGTGATGTACATTGAGACTCTAGTTTTTAATCGAACATCTGTGACGCGCTGAAGTGAGCGTATTGTTTTTCTGTACTTAGTCCGCGAATGGACCAGGGTCTATCAGGAAGCCTCGACCTTGCAGCCATGGGTAAAGGGGAGAGAATTCCTTTGGTCAGTAATGAACATACACTAACATACCTGGGAGTGAACTACTCTATCTGGAATGGCTTCTTATCTAAAGCATCCATATCGAACTTGATGGAAACAGTGTCGAAGCTTCAGAAGCCCACATTTAAAGCCCATTCAGAAGTTGGCATTACCTCATACCTTCATAATGCCACATTTCCTTTATCAATTGTGTTTATCCAAGCCATTTACGTCGATGTTCAGGGAAGCGGACGGTCAAATCAGAGTGGCAGTCAAGCAGTTCCTACATCTGAGTACATATGAG